TCATGGGTATTAAGGGGTTGCAGGAATTAAGCAGAGCAGTGAAGGACAAGGGGTCCTGGAGATGTCTCATCCTTAGGGTCACCATGGGTCAAGATCAACTCAAGGGCAGTTAACAACAACAACAACAGTATTCATTATTCTTTTGTCATAGAGCAGAGGTAGGCAACCTTTCCCCTTTAAGGGCCGAGGGACTTCAGCTCCCAGAATCCCAGGAGCTATTGGCCAACATGGGACTATTGGCCAACATGGCTGAGGCTTCTGGGAGCTGAAGTCCCTTGGCCCTTAAAGGGGAAAGGTTGCCTACCCCTGCCATAGAGCTTTAGTGCCTCACCAAATCACAATTTCCAAAATTCCATAGGATGCAGCCATGGTTGTTAAAATGATATCAAAGTGCTATAACTGTACAGCATGAGAGACCTTGGCCTTTTATTCTACTGACTGCATCCACGCTGCAGAAATAATTCAGCTTTAACACCACTTTAACTGCCGTGGTTCAACGCTATGGAATTCTGGGATTTGTAGTTTTGTGAGACGTTTAGCCTTCTCTGTCAGAGCGTTCTGTCGGCGCCACAAAATACAAATCCAAGAATTACATAGTGTTGAGCCACGGCAGTTAAAGCGGTATCAAACTGGATTATTTCTGCAGTGTGGACGCAGCCAAGGACACATTTAATAAGAACAAAATGTCTTAACACTTTTTTTTCTGTGCTTTTTTCCACTGCAAAAATTATTATTTATCTCTTCAAGTCGAAATGATAGACCAAACAGCTGGATGGCTTCCCCTATTAAACTCCATAGCTGAATGCCCAGATTTGATGATGACTGTCAACTTTGTAAAACTTATTTTACCTTGTGTCTCACTACCTGAAAAAGTGCATTTTAAGAAAAAAAAGTATTAAGGCTATGCTGTCATTACAGATCAGTCGTAGTTTCATATAAAATGCATAAAAATTATTTCATTTTATTAAATGTATATGTCATTTTCTGCCAAAAATGGCACTCCTCTGTGCATAGAAATGTTAGGTACCGCTTCTTCTAAGATAATATTAGCTACCACCCCACAGGAAGCCATTTTAAAGGAAAGAAGAGGTTAAAAACTGGAGATGCCTGCGCTATTATGATCTTTTTGTATTTTTAACAAGAAAGTTTAAATGAAGAAAGACGATTCTTAGGGAGGACGAAGATCTTAATTGGTTTGTTTACATGAAACCTAAGGACTTGACCAAGACAAGAGAAGTGCTGCCATAGAGGTCAGAGAAATTGAGTTTTATTTAGAGCTGTGTAAACACGATGACCATATAATTAAAAAAGTGTATAAATGGCTTCTGAAACTAGAGACAGAATGAACTTGTAAAAGAGTACTTGATAAAGTGGGCCCAAAATTTCGAGCATAGCCTCCATAATGGCCCCAGGTATAAAGATTACTTTGGGCACTAATTTAAAAGAACACCTGTTTAAGATGACGAATAAATGGTATCTAATCCGAAATAAGTAATCACAAATGGCCCAGAATGTTTCAAATCACTGTTGGGGTGAACCTATCCTTGGGTTTCTTGTCAAGTTTCTTCAGAAGCAGTTTGTCGTTGTCATCCTTTGAGGCTGAGAGAGTGTAACTCACCTCAGGTCACCCAGTAGGTTTGGCTTGAATGTCCCACATTTTGTAGCACCTTGCACCTGGCCACTCTGCCCCCTCTGAAGCTGAGAGAGTGTGACTCACCTCAGGCCACCAATTCAACTAAATTCAATCCTTGCACCTGTTCACCCTGTCCCCTGAGGCTGAGAGAGTGTGACCCACCTCAAGCCACCCAGTGGGTTTGGCTTGGACATCTCACATTTTGCAATGCCTTGTGCCTCCCTCTGAAGCTGAGAGAGTGTGACTCACCTCAGGCCACAAAAATTTAACCCTCTGAGGCTGACCCGCTTCAGGCCACCAAGGGGGTTTAAATATCCCACACCTTGCACCCTCTGAGGCTGAGAGAGTGTACTTCAATTAAAATCGCCCAGCCGGGGATCGAACCCTGTCCCTCCAAAGCCGCAGTCCAGCGCTCAAACCACTACGCCACGCGGGCTCCTATTGACCCATACAGAAGAAGAGGCGACCTATAGGAAAGCCAGGCTCTCCCGCTCAAACCGTCCACCAACCGTCAAACGCTCAGCGTAGCTCCGCCCACCGCGAGGACGCCGCCACTCACCACAACTCCTCCTCCTCCTCCGATGCCTACGAAACCGGAAGTTCCCTGCGCGCGGCAACTCTGAACTTCCGTCCGGCCGTTTCCGGCGCGCAGTCATTCTGAGGTGGAGGCTGGGAGAGTCGCTTTCTTGCCCAGCCCTGTCCTGCTTCTGGCGGCTCCTTGAGGTATGAACCCAGCAGCCCTCCCGCTTCCCTTCCCCTTGGCCTCCTCCTCCTCCTCCTCCTCGGGCGGTTTTAGTTCTGGAGGAGGCAAATTCTGGTCCGGAAAGCTTGCCCCGCCGCCCTCCCTGTTGCTCATCCTCCCCGTTTCTGGCCTTTCCTTTCCCCTCAGCTCGCCATCCCAGGCCTCTTGTTTGGAAACTTGTTGTGTGTCTTCAAGTCATTTCCGACTTATGGCCACCCTAAGGCAAACCTATCATGGGGTTTTCATGGCAAGATTTGTTCAGAGGGGGTTTGCCATTGCCTTCCCCTGAGGCTGAGAGAGTGTAACTCGCCCAAGGTGCATCTTCTTGTATGCCTTCAAGTCGTTTCAGCCCTAAGGCGACCTTAAAGCCTGTCATTGGGGTTTTCTTGGCAAGATTTGTTCAGAAGAGGCTTGCCATTGCCGCCTTCTGAGGCTGAGAGAGTGTGACTTGGCCAAGGTCACCCAGTGGGTTTACATATCCAAGCTTTTATTGTAAGCCACTTGGATTGTTGTCATTAAGAAGGATATAAATAAATTTTATTATTATTATTTATTAAGCTGGGGAATTGAGCCCAGTCTCCAGAGATCTTGTAGCACCTTTGAGACTAACTGAAGGGGGTTGCAGACTGCCAAAAATAGTGCAAATTGAGTCCACT